TCACAACCTTGGAAGGTAGAATCATTAAGCATTTCCCTTAGGATAAATAGCTCCCAATTTCATAAAGTCTTGAGTCTTCTTAGGAGACCTCCAGCAACTTTGGCTTTATTTATGTCCCCTCAGATGGATAATGTTTGACTCCACTAGAAAAGATAAAAACCAGTCTTTAAAGATTTTTAAAAAAATGATTGGAGATACAAAGAAACTGTAAGAGTGACAACACTGTCATCTCACATATTAGTAATAGTGTTTATTTATTGTGCATCTACTTTATGCCAAGCATTAGCCATGTGAGGTGAGTGATAATAGCCCCATTTTCTGGAGGGGATAAAAGAGGCTCAGAGAGATTAGGCCTTTTGCCTAACCAGGGTCATACAGCCCCTGAGTGAGAGATCTCATGTTTTTCCCACTGTGTCCTGCTGCTTTAGATTCATAGCATGTTACAGTGTTTATTTCCATCCCTGTGTTGAGTGGCCATTCATGAGTTCAAGGAGTAGCAGCTGCTTTATCTTTAGAACATATATACCCAAGCCTTCAAACTGAAAATTGGAGAGGAAATAAACCCTGATCAGAGGCAGTATATTTCAAATGCTTGTAAACCTCCACCTCTCTAACTTTCTTTCAGACACTGGTAGCTTTACTTAAAACAGATTCCCTGAGCAGCATTTTTTCATGAATCCAAGCAATTGCTGCACAGGAGATCTAACTTCCAATTTGTTTGGCTTCTGGTTGTTGTGGAACCCTGGTTTACATTGCTCTTGGCTGGTTCTTTCTTAGTCACCAAATGTATTGTAATTAGTTTCAGGCGTAATGATTATGAGCAATGATTGCTAGGTGTCTAGAGCCTGTACAGCTCTTCTTCAACAGTTAAGATCTGACCCTGATTAGGAGTTCTGAGAATAATTGAAAAAAAAAAAAAAATAGAGATGAGCATTACAGCGATTACTGAAGTTGCCATTGATGGCTGTGGAACAGGATCTGAATGGCTAATTTATGCTTCATTCCTCATTGTAGAAGTAAATGTCATGGGAATAGAAAGGAGGATTGGGGATGTGAAAGAATTATGCAAGAACATGCGAGCTGCTAGTTTAATAGGAGGAACAGATGCAAAAGGATTTTTCCCCTTTTTTCTAATAGCAAATTATTATGCTTTAGTTGATATTGTACCTAATTGGTATGGATTTTAGAATTTAAATGATGTTTGCCATCCTTATGAGGTCCCTTTGAGGCAAAAGGCAAAAGGCAAAAGGCGTAGGTTGAATAGTCCCATGTAATAGGGCTAGTAAGAATCAGTCTATAAAGAAATGAGTCTGGGTCTTCTGCATCCCCTGATTTTTGTTTGGTTGACTCTCATAGATTAAATAGATGAATATTTAGGAACTTGTTATATGTAATGAAAGATTAACAATTTTATAGATGTTTAAAAAAATCTCTGGTGTTCTCATAAAACCATACGTGGAGAGTGGCAGGGTATAGTAAAGGTGAATTGGATGGGGGAAATTTGTCTTACCAGAAATTTTCATTATGGTCTGATTGGGCAGGAAGAAGGTTAAGATGCATGGTAAAACAACATGTACTTTGATTTGAGCCCATAATAGCCACTCAGTACATACTTGTCAAATTGCATAGCCATTTGGAGAAATTACATTGTGACGTTTTAACTCGTTATATCAGTTTTATAGAATTTCTCAAGCATTTATTAACCACATGCTCACTCAAATCGTCTTTATATTTGCAACTTATATAGCCACATTAAAGAGTCTTTAAAAATGCGAAGGAAAGAAAATAAATTTTCTGAATGATGAAATGAATTAGGATTAAGGATGCATATAGCACCAAGCTGGGCTCTTAAAGTATAAACTAACATACACACACGCACGCGCGCACACACACACACACTTTCCTAGACATAATGTGAGTCGTGGAAGCCAAAGTATGGTTCATGGTGGGTGTTGGACAGGGGCATGTCAGTTTCAAATCAGTCTCCTCTTCATTAGGCCATTTCTCTTGTACTCTGAAGTAGCTATGTTATATATGGCTACATCAACCCATAAACTCTTAACCTGAATGAGGAACTCTAAGATAGATAATGTTTTATTTTTTCCATAAAGTGTTCAGTGATTTAGTGTTTGACTTCCAGCACTTTGTCAAAAGGCTAAAACTTGACATTCATTAGAAGTTTTAAATTAAAACTAAGCTAGAAATGCCACACTGTACGCTACCCCACCCCTAAAAACCAACATGACTCTAGGTGACATTCATTAAAAATGCGAGTGAGTTTTGAGAGTTACCTACTAAATAACTATGAAAGCACAAGTCAAATAATTCTGAATGTCTAGTTTCTTCTGATGTGTGCCAATTTTATGAGCAATACAATAAAAATTCAGTATAAGGAAGGACCTGTGGTTACTGTTGGAATCCACTCTTTTTAGTCATGAAATATTAATAGCACTAGATTGACACAAGGCTTGCATGGTGTTCCCAATGATGACGAGGCTTTATTTTTCAATATGTGATAGCTATGTGTGCAACATACTGGTCATGTAATAACGCAACCCACATGTGCCTTCTTTTATGTCTTCCATGAGCAATCACCACTGGGCAAGGATGCTAGCAAAATTCAAGCATGGTGTGGAACATGGACCAGATGGCATTTAAGCTCCCTTCTCAATTTTGAACTCTAGAAAAGTGTTGCATACATTTGATCATCTATGTTAACACTTAGTTGAAAGAGTTCTACACAAGAAAATTTTCCCCCAAGACAGTAAGAAAGTCATTCCTAGGAATGTAACAAATTTATTAAAAAACACAATTCATTGGAAAGGTATTTTCTCTTAATTAAAACATTAATGCTTACCCTGACTGCTTCACACTCAACACAGCCCCTGAGTTGTTGGTGATTGCAACTAACAGGTGAAATGGGAGATGTTTCAGTGGCTACAGCAGTTGTTCTCAAACTTTAGGATATATCAGAATCACGGATGGCTGAAAATTTTGGCCTGTCTACCAAGCCATTTGGCATGTGAACAAGCCAGTTGTCTAGCTGGTGCTGAGAGTGCCCTTAGTAGAAATGGAATGATGCCCAGCAAAAGAGACCCTCCAGGGTTTCTGATTCCGTAAGTCTGGGGTGGGGCTGAGAATGTGCATTTATAGCAAGTGCTCAGGTGATGCTGATGCTGCTGGTCCCAGGCCCACACTTTGAGAACCACTCAGGGGATTTTGGAGGGAATAAAAGGCCATCCTGGGTAGCTGATTGGTGTGCTTCTTGTATTGTTCCCCTAACTCTTTGTGCACTTTCTGCCCTCTCACTTTCAGAGAGAGAACTTTGGTAAAAATGGCAGGCTGCACACTTACAATGGGGATGAGTTGACCTGCCTATTTGTTTACTATGCAGAGGGAGTCAATTTCCCTTTCTTTCTCTGAAGAAAGCCTAGTAAATAAAAGGCAAGCAATAGTAGAAAAAAAATAGATAAAAGGAAAAGGAGAGAAGCAAAGAAAAAACCCACAAACCACACATATAATGTTTGAAAAGCTGAAACTAGAGGGAACTGTGGACTTCAGCCTCAGGCCTCAAAGCAACCACTAAATGATGAGTTAGGGGCTGAGAGGCATAGGTATAGAATCTCCTGGCATGTCAGAAAAGTCACACACATATATCTCCCATGCAACCCACATGTGCCTTCTTTTATGTCTTCCATGGTGTGGAACATGGACCAGATGGCATTTAAGCTTCCTCAGTCCAGGTTTTGAAAAGCTATTTGGAATTACCGGCCAGTCTCTGAATTGCCCACCCAATGTGAGAAGAGAATGGTTTTGTAGGACTATTGCATTTTCTTAAGCTTGCCAATATTCTGGCTTTGAAGTAGGTGTCATATTTTCTTTTCTGCTCCATATTTACTCAGAGGCAGTTTCTTATTTGATGTGGTCCTTATATTTTGCTTTGGTATTTGTTATATTTCCTGCTTATAAACTTGATATCACGAGGTGTTTATTTTTATAACAGGCAAGAGATTCTTTAAGAATGATTAATGTTATAGATACACTGTTGGCTTGATTTTTCATTTGAAGTTCCTGAGGAAAGTTTCAGACATCAACTAGTTTGCCATTTGTAGTTAAGAGATTAAAATCTCTAATACTTAGGCTGTGGCTATATGGTAGTCAAAACGTTGATCTGAAATATACTATATTTATGATTAAGTCCATTATGCATTCTTCTCTCTCTCACGCACGCGCACGCGCACACACACGCACACACACACACGAAACATTGAAAATAGTTACATGATGTTATTGTATGAATCCTTTAGAAACCCAGATCACTGGATACTCCCAATTTATACTACGGTCACAGAGAAACACCCAGGAATTTATATTCAGAAAACTCATGTGCTTGCTTGTAGGGGTGTTTGAGTATGTTTCTTGGCCTCAAGCATTTTCCAGGCAACTATAGTGCATGATTGTATAGATAAGTAAAAATGAGAAATGAAAAAGAAATTTATGCCCAAGTAAAATAACAACTTTTGAAAACACATGTCCTGGTCTTAAGTTACAATTAGGAGGCATGATTAACTTTGGCTTATATTCTGAAATAAAAAATTCTGGGAAATCTCATGTTTTAGACTTAATGTACCCATTTTCCCCCCCAGTTTTTCTTTATCCACCTATGACACCTATGACAGAGAGAGAGAGAGAGAGAGAGAGAGAGAGAGAGAGAGAGAGAGAGAGAGAGAGAGAGAGAGAACGAGAGAATGTGTGTGTTATACTTACTCCTGAGAAGTTGTTGGTTTACATTTTCATTTTTTTCCTCTCTCAGACACCTATGTAAGTGACTTTGTGACATAGTTTTCCTTTCATTGACAAATGTTTCCTACACACAAACATGTTTTCTAGTTTAGTTGTGTGGGTTTTTTTTTTCAGTTTACAAATTTACTAGAAAAGCAGTTATTTAAATACTGAAAACTCTTCCCTTTTTCCTTTTCTTTTTTTGGTTTTGCTTTTAGAATTCTTCAAAGAACTACTTGAAAATGCAGAGAAATCCCTGAATGATATGTTTGTGAAGACATATGGCCATTTATACATGCAAAATTCTGAGCTATTTAAAGATCTCTTCGTAGAGTTGAAGCGTTACTACGTGGTGGGAAATGTGAACCTGGAAGAAATGCTGAATGACTTCTGGGCTCGCCTCCTGGAGCGGATGTTCCGCCTGGTGAACTCCCAGTACCACTTTACAGATGAGTATCTAGAATGCGTGAGCAAGTATACGGAGCAGCTGAAGCCCTTTGGAGATGTCCCTCGCAAATTAAAGCTGCAGGTTACTCGTGCATTTGTAGCAGCCCGTACTTTTGCTCAAGGCTTAGCGGTTGCCGGAGATGTTGTGAGCAAGGTCTCCGTGGTAAGCACTCTTGTCTTCTCTGTTATTGTTTTGTTTCATGTTAAAAGAACGTTTGGGAAAGGTAGAAAAATAAATCACCAGAATTCTGTTGGCTTCTAGCAGCCTTTTCTTCCTCTCTTACCTCTTCTCTCCTACACTTTGTCCTTATACATGTACATTTTAGAGTTCCTAAACAATACTGTGATCAGACTCTTCACCCATCATTATTATTGTGGTTTCTTTTCTAGCTATTCTTAGAAGGGAAATATATGTTTACTCAGGAATCTTCGTTTTAAAAGTGGGTTAATACTGCCGTACCCATTTTAGCTCTTATTCTACTTCCTTTCTACAGAAAGAACCATACACACACAGGCTCCACATTTAGTTGTTTTGTGTGACTATGAGCCTACTAGTTACAGTCTAGAAAAACATTTAATCCCCAAGAACATGTGTTTCCTTGTTAGGAGGTGTACTCAGCTCTTTGGAAGATAGGTTTCTATGGCAATTAGTGTGGACCATACTGCTGTTAACTCATGATTTGTAGGATTACCAATACAGAAAGTGAAATTGTAGTATTTGACCAGGAGCTGATGAAATGAATCTGTTTCCTCATTGGTAAATTCAGTGAATTGGTCTAGATAGACTCTGTTCTTTTATTTTCTTCTTCTTCTTCTTTTTTTTTTTTTTTTGAGACAATGTCTTGCTCTTGTGCCCAGGCCAGAGTGCATGGCAGGATCTCAGCTCACTGCAATCTCCACCTCTGGGGCTCAAGCGATTTTCCTTCCTCAGCCTCCCTAGTAGCTGGCTAATTTTTTGTGTTTGTAGTAGAGACGGGGTTTTACCATGTTGGCCAGGCTGGTCTCGAACTCCTGGCCTCAAGTGATCCATCTGCCTTGGCCTTTCAGAGTGCTAGGATTAGAGGTGAGAGCCACCGTGCCCAGCTGATAGACTCTGTTCTTGAGCAGGATCTTGCTCTAAGGGCCTCCATGAGCAGAAGCAACAGAGAATGAAGTCTTTTGTGGGTGAGACCATGCAACCGTGCCTTTACCTCCCAGTTCCACCAGAGAATCTTTGCTGTCTTTGAGTTCACACAGTAGGGATCTGAGCAAGATTTCAAGAGGAAAGGGGTTCCCACTGCTCCTTCACTGCCACTCCCCTCCCCCAAATGAAATCTGTAAACTTCTCTAAGACCTTACCACCTCTACCTTTCCAAAAGTCGATACCAGGGAAGAAACAGAAATAAACTGGGGCAAAGTGATCTTTTCAAGGCTGATAGTGCTGTCAACCTTAGGCCCTCAAAGGGAAAGCCACATTGTAGGCCAGTGCTAAAAGGCCTGGATGCACAGCGACAGCAGATTCTGCTGAGGCGATTTGGTTGTTTTGAGGACTGGAAGAATGGACAGCATAAAAACTGGACAGCACTACAGACATGAAAATAGCTACCTGATTGCCTCTCAGAGTTCATCTACAGTTAGGATGACCATATAATTTATTGTCCAAACAGGACACTTATTGTCTAAACCAAGGGGTGCTTATTAACACATTAGTTACAGACAACAGGTGTCACTAATTGTTTTTTGAGATGAAGTCTCATTCTGTCACCCAGGTTTGAGTGCAGTGGTGAGATCTTGGCTCACTGCAACCTCCACTTCCCAGGCTCAGATGATTCTCCTGCCTCAGCCTCCCTAGTAGCTAGGATTACAGACATGTGGCCACCACACCCAGCTGATTTTTGTATTTTCATTAGAGACAGGGTTTTACCATGTTGGCCAGGTTGGTGTTGAACTCCTGACCTCAGATGATCTGCATGCCTCTGCCTCCCAACATGCTGGGATTATAGGTATGAGCCACTGCACCAGCCAGGTGTCACTAATTGTTAATAAGTGACCATGACTGTCGTGGAGTGGCTAGGATGCATGGGTCACTCTAGTTACAGAGAAAACTTATGTTCACCAGAGTGGAGATAAAGATTCTAAAGAATGGTTTATTATGAAATAGGTGCTCATAGGATTTTTCATATTAGAATTGGGTGATAATAAGGATTAGTTCACTGATTGCATACATTATGTGGGTTGTTCTCTCTCTCATCTCCAGGCCGTAAACTGTCAGGAAACAATTTTTTCTAGTATGGTTTTGTTCACTCTTTATTTGATATTTTCATCATAAATTACAAATATTTGTTGTGGCATATGAGGGTGGAGTTGAGGGTAGCTGGGGAGATGATTGTTATAATTAAGGGAATAATATCTGATTCTTGAACCTCTGCCAACCCCAGCAACCACTGTTAATCTTGGACGTACTTATGTCAGAGTCCCTAAAATAGTGCACAGTGAATGCAGATCAAAGATGTTTGCATGGTGGTATACCCAGCACATTTGCCCTCCTTCAACAATTCCTCATGTTCATCCTCCACTGAAAGGGCAGAAGGACACTGCCATGTGATTTGGACATCTCTGCCTGCATGTGCACATGTGTGTGTGTGTGTGCACTTGTGCCAAAGAGAAGGGCAGAGAATCAAGAGCTCTTTGCTCGTGTTTGAAAAGTGCTTTCTTTATGTTAACCCTCTCCCCTTTGAGTTCAGTGCTGACTTGGAGAAAAAGGGCCAGACACTGACTCAAGCCCGCTTTGGTGTTAGCCTCACTTTGCAAGGCTGGAGAACTGAGATTCTGAGATTCTGGAACCTGTAAACATGGACGGGAAGGGTAGCCAAACCAAAAAGTTTAGAGGCAAGTGATTGCAGTTAGAGGACTGAAGGCTAGAAAAGGCTTGCCTTTGTCTCACGTCTACCCACCTCCCGGGTAAGGGGGAAGTATGCAGTTGAGCCTTCCCTGTGTTGCCCAGCTTCTGGACATTGTTCTCAGAATTAACTGTGGGAAACCAAGAAGCTTGACTTCGATATGTAAGATTCAGACACCCTTACTTATGTGACCCAGCGCTAAATAGTCACAATCACTTTTTCTTTATCCTTTCTTTTTAAAAAGAGGCAGGATCTCGCTCTTTCACCCAGGCTGGAGCACGGTGGCATGATCATAGCTCACTGTAGCCTCGATCTCCTGGCCTCCAGCAATCCTGCTGCCTCAGCCTCCCGAGTACCTGGAACCACAGGCATGTGCCTTCACGTGATTTTTGTTATGTTTTTATGTTTTATTTTTTGTAGAGACAGAGTCATGTACTATGTTGCTCAGGCTGATCTTGAACTCCTGGCCTCAAGTGATCCTCCCACCTCAGCTTCCCAAAACATTGGGATTACAGGCATAATAACTTTTTGATGTTGCTTTTGGTATGAATTTTTCTTAATAGAAAGAAAAAGATTCCCTGTCCACCTTAGTATTGTTAAATTCTTTGAGAAAGTTACTTTTTTTTTTTTTTTCTTTTGAGACAGAGTTTCACTCTTGTTGCCCAGCCTGGAGTGCAATGGCACGATCTCGGCTCTCCACAACCTCTGCCTCTTGGGTTCAAGCGATTCTCCTGCCTCAGCCTCCCGAGTAGCTGGGATTATAAGCATGTGCCACTGCACCCAGCTAATTTTGTATTTTTAATAGAGATGGGGTTTCTCCAAGTTGGTCAGGCTGGTCTTGACTCCTCACCTCAGGTGAGCCACCGCGGCCGGCCTTGAGAAATTTACATTCTAAATATAACCCTAACGATTTTTTTTTAAGCTTGGTCTCTATTCTATAGTCATTGTATTATCATGTAAGCCTAAGAGATACTTGTGTAGTTTTATGGGTATTCAGTGATTAGGAGCAATATGGCTGAGTTTACATGGAGTAAAACATAACTTGTCAATTGTTCAGTTGAAAATAAAGTTTTGTGGCCACTTTAAGTATTGTGGTCACAATTTGGAATGCCTAAAAAAGATAATGTTTTTGCTTCACCACTGAGCTTCTAAACTTAAGGACTGACTTGAAATCAAACCCTTTAAGTTATATTATCTAAATGAATAAGGACCATAGGCATCAAATCAGTTTATAAAGGTGCTGAATCAATAATTCTATAAATATCAACCATCTGTTGAATGCATCTGTATACAAGCACGCAAGGCATACTTGCATACCTGAGATGATATTTATTACATTAATTTTTGGAATATGACAACCAGTTAAAAATCTTGAGATACACTTGTATAGGAAAGACAATAAAGGAGCTGGCTATCAAAAACATTTCAAAATGAACATGTTGAAAAATTCGTTTGATTAATTTATAAATAAGATTCTCTACCAGTTTAGATACCCAAGTAAGGTTATATATATATATATATAACCCATATATGTATATGGGTTCTCATCCCTGCTAACTCCTGTCTGAGAAGCATAGTTTGCAGGGGGGAATCTCTAGAACAACCCAAGAAATAAATGTTTCTTCTTTTGGTGCCCAATAAAACTAACTGCTTTGGGCCTGAAAATAGACCTTTCAGAGTAAGAGATGTGTTCCCTAATTGAAAAGAGCCACCTCATCACTCACTTCATCTACAGAGAGATCTTTTTTTTTTTTCTTTTTTCTTTCTTTACTTTTCCCTCCCTCCCTCCCTCCCTCCCTTCCTCCCTTCCTCCCTTCCTTCCGTCTTCACACAGTCTTGCTCTGTCACCCAGGCTGGAGTGTAGTGGCACAATCACAGCTCATGGCAGCTTTGACCTCTGGGACTCAAGCAGTCCTCCTGCCTCAGCCTCCCAAGTAGCTAGGACTATAGGCACATGCCACCACTCCCAGCTAATTTTTCTTTCTTTGTTTTTTTTTTTTTTTTTTTTTAAGAGATGGGGTCTCACTATGTTGCCCAGGCTGGTCTTGAATTCCTGGCCTCTAGTGATCCTCCCACGGCAGCTTCCCAATCTGCTGGGATTACAGGTATAAGCCACTTTGCCTGGCCTACAAAGAGGTCTTTGAAGTGAAATGTGATAAGTGTCATGGTCTTGTTTGCATGCATAGAGATGTTCCCACTTTCTTTATGAGTGGATGCCCTGCTTTTCTAGTTTACTTTTGCAGCAAAAGGGTTGCAGTTAAAAGTTGAACAATGATGTGATTAT